TGGGGCTCAGTCTCACAACTGTGAGATCAGGACCTGAGCTGAAAACAAGAGTCGGATGCTTAAGCGACTGGGCCACCCAGGCACCCCATTTAAAGCTGCCAATATAAACACATTCAAAGACTTAAAGGAGCATGGTGTAAATAACTAAACTGATGGAGATCTCAGTGGAGAAAGAGATACTTTTTAATATAAATTCTAGAACTGAACATTTTAATAGTTGAAAGTTTAAATTCACTAAATGGGCTTAATAGATTAGAGACAGGAAAAAAAAAAAGGTGGTAAACTTGAAGAAAGATCAAAAGAAATTATCCAACCTAAAGAACATGGATTTTTTTTTTCTAAACTGAGGGGAAAACAATGAACAGAGCCTCAACGAACTGAGGAACACTAGTAGTGGACCCAATATATGTTTAATGGGGTCCCAGAAAAAGATAGAATGAGGAAGAAAAGAATATTTGAAGAAATAATGGCTGAGAACTTCCCAAGTTTAGTGAAAAAAAATTAACTTATAAATCCAGAAAGCTCAGCAAACTCCAAGGAGTTTAAACACGGAAAACATCACGATCAAACTGCTGAAAATCAGAAATAAAAAGAATACTTGGGGGCGCGTGGGTGACTCAGTCGGTTTCTTTATTTCAGCTCAGGTGATGATCTCACTGTTGTGAGATCAAGTCCTGTGTTGGGCTCCACGCTCAGTGTGGAGCTTGCTTAAGAGTCTCTCTCCTTCTTTCTCTGCTCCATCCCTACTCATGTGCTCTCTCTCGCTCTTGCTCTCTCTCTCTCTCAAAATAAATAAACTTGAAAAAAAATAGCCAAGAAGTAGCAATCCAACATGCATCAGCTGATGGATACACACATAAAATGTGGCAGTATCATACACTGGATACAAATTCAGCAATAAGAAGGAACGAAGCACTGATAAGTGCTACAACATGAAGGAACCTCAAAAACATTATGCTAAGTAAAAGACATAAGACCACATATTGTATAATTCCATGTCTATGAAATGTCCAGATGAAGCAAATTTATAGACAGGAAGTAAATTTGTGGTTGCCTAGTGACGGTGGGGGGAGTGGAATAGGGAGTCATTGCTAATGGGCACAAGGTTCTAAAATTAGACTGTGGTCAGAAGATGGTAGGGGAAGGGAAGAGAGAGGCAGACCAAGAAACAGACTCTTAACTACAGAGAATAAACTGGTAGTTACCAAAGGGGAGGCTGGTAGGGGGATGGGGGAAATAGGTGATGGGGATTAAGGAGGGCACCTGTGATGAGAACTGGGTGTTGTATGGAAGTCTTGAATCACTAAATTATACACTTGAAATTAACATTACACTGTATGTCAACTAACTGGAACTTAAATAAAAACTTAAGGAAATAAAACTATGGTGATGACTACACAACTCTGTAAATATACTAAAAATAACTGAATTGTACACTTAAACTAGCAGAATGTTGTCATATGTATATTTCAATAAAGCTTTTTTATAAAAATGAGGATAAAATAAAAATATTTTCAGGTAAACAAAAACATAATTCATCACCAGATCTGCACTAAAAATAATGCTAAAGGAAATTCTTCAGGCTGAAGGGAAATGACATCAGATGAATCTCAGATCTACAGGGAGCAAGGAAGAATACCAGAAATGATCTATATGTAGGTAAATACAAAAGACTATCTTTTCTTCTTTGACCTAAAAGATAACTATGTGAAGCAAAAATTATAACATTGTCTATATAGCATTTCATAAAGATGAACTTGTATCTAAACAGTATGTGGGTTATATTTTCAAATAATATGCTTAAATATGGATTCAGGTGAAATACCTCTAAAATTAAAGTAATAGATCCAGTTATTCTGAAAAATAAGTACAAGTAATATATTATAGGAGGTCCAAACACTGGAAACACAAACACTGGGAAGCAATATTTGCAAAACAAATATCTGGCAAGGAACTTGTATCTGTAATACAGAAGGAATTAAACACCAGAAATAAAAAGATAAAATATAGGCAATAAAAAGTATGCAAAAGACTTGAATAAACTTGAAATGGGAAAAAAGACTTAAAATTAATGAATTAATGCAAATTAATGACATAACATCTCACATCCACCAGGATAGCTAAAATTTAAACGACTGGCAATACTAAATGTTGGTAAGGTTGTAGAGCAACTGGAGATCCCATACATTTCTGGTGAAGGTTTCTTACCAAGTTAAAAATAAACCTCCCTAGGGGCATCCGGGTGGCTCAGTCGGTTAAGCGTCCGACTTCAGCTCAGGTCATGATCTCACAGTTTGTGAGTTCGAGCTCCGCATCAGACTCTGTGCTGACAGCTCAGAGCCTGGAGCCTGCTTCAAATTCTGTGTCTCCCTCTCTCTCTGCCCCTCCCCGCTCATGCTCTGTCTCTCTCTGTCTTAAAAATTAAAAAAAACAAAAAAACAAAAAAACAAAAAACAAAAACATTAAAAAAAAAAAAAAAACAAAAAACAAACCTCCCTATAACCCAGCAATTCCATTCCCAAGTATTGGCCAAGGGAAGTAAAAACACATTATCCACACATAAGAAAGACTTATAGAAGGAGGTTTTTAACAGTTTTATTCACAATAGCCCCAAACTGCAACAGCCTAAATGTTCATCAACAAAAGGATGGATAAACAAGTTATGAGTAATCCATACAATGGAATACTGTTCCGCAATGAAAAAGAATGAACATACAACCAACAGAAAAAACAAACAAACAAACCCTCAAAGACACGATTTAAGTGAAAGTCAGCAGACATAAAATAGTGTATACTGTATGATTCCATTTAAATGTAGCTTAAGAAGAGGCAAAATTAATCACTAGTCCAAGAAATCAGAACAGTGCTTGCCTATAGGGGGTAAGGACTGACTGACTGCAAGGGAGCTTTCTGGGAGTGATAGAAATGTTCCATATCTTTTTTTTTTTTTAACGTTTATTCATTTTTGAGAGACAGAGTATGAGCTGGGATGGGGCAGAAAGAGAGGGAGACAGACTCCAAAGTAGGCTCCAGGCTCTGAGCTGTCAGCACAGAGCCTGATGTGGGGCTCAAACTCACGACTCGCGAGATCATGACCTGAGCCGAAGCCGGACCCTTAACCGACTGAGCCACCTAGGTGCCCCAGAAATGTACTAGATCGTAATTGGGATAGTGGTTATACAAGTGCATACATTTATCAAAAGTCATTGAAGTGTACACTTTAAGATGTGTGTATTTTACAGTATGTAAATTGTACCCACAAAATGTTTTCAGAAGTTTATCATTCAGATACACTTTAGCTACACTGAAGTCTTGCATTTTATCGCTATTAGTGCAAATATGGTAACGAATTGTTATCAAACATTAAACGTTAACTGGTTAATAGGGAAGGTCATCATGAATTTAAGACAATGTCTGAAATGAAAACAAGTCTTATTCCCTACTATCAAATTCATTTCCCATATATTAATCTAATTATAAATAGTTCTATAAGCAGAAAATATATAGCTATTTGCATACAATGGTTTCTGAACTGTCATGATCTCCTCCCGTCTGGGGCTTAAATTGGAGGGTCAGGACAAGAGGAACATCGAACAAAGTAATACAAATAATTACTATGGAGGAAATGCGCAGGATCCTAATAGAGAATAAAGGGGAGACTTATTTTGGAAAGGGTCATCAGGGAAAGTCTCTATGAAGAGGTAATCCTTGCTAAGATCTTAGAACGTATGAAAATTTAAAAGCTGAGTAAAGTTACTTAGATTAAGGAGAAACAAAAGGGATAGAGCAGGGAGAGGGAAAATTATATACTAAAGTCCCTACGTCTCTGTGGGGCCAGCAAGGAAGAATTAGCTGGTACCAAAGAGAATCAGGACACAGTAAAGTTGGTGGAGCAAGGTGGCTTGGAATAAGTTTGAAGAGTGACAGGTAAGGGCCAGATCACACTGCAGATTAACGGTCTCCCTGGATTTGGGTTTCACTGAGTCATAACAGGAAACCAAAAGAAGGACTTTGAGGAGAAAAGAAGCTGAGGCACCAAGAGCCCAGTCACTCTGGGAAACGTGTAGGAAAGTGAGGGGAAAGGACTAGTATATTAAGAATGAACACTCTCAAATGGGAAGAGTCTCTCTCTCTCAAAAATAAATAAACATTAACAAGTTATTATAATTAGGGGTGCCTGGGTGGCTCAGTTGGTTAGGCATCCAACTTTGGCTCATGTCATGATCTTGTGGTTTGTGGGTTCGAGCTGTGCTGACAGCTCAGAGCCTGGAGCCTGCTTCGGATTCTGTGTCTGCCTCTCTCTCTGCCCTTCCCCCGCTCATACTCTGTCTCTTTCTCAAAAATAAATAAAACATTAAAAAGTTATTATAATTAACACAATGAAGTGCTGATTCTTCTTGCCTGTTGAGAAACCTCTTATACAATGTATTATGTCTGTGACTGTTTTTAATACACTTAAGACTTTTGAGGTCAAGGAAATTATTGGTATGTTCTCCCACAAAACTGACCCCAGTACCAAGTAAACAAAAAGAAAAGATCTGGGGCGCCTGAGTGGCTCAGTTTGTTAAGCATCTCACTCTGTGAGTTCAAGCCCCAGTGTCAGGCTAGCACAAAGCCCATGTGGAATTCTCTCTCCCTCTTTCTCTGCCCCTTCCCTGCTCACACTCACTCTCCCTCTCTCTCTCAAAAATAAATAAATAAAACTAAAACAAAAACAACAACAACAACAACAACAAGATTAGTGAACTGAACTAATGGATTACCGGTCTGACCCATAAGTCTTGCAATACATTAGACAGCAATTATTCCTAATACTAAGAGTGGTAACTCTTTATAAAAGGAAATACAAGTCCTTGTCAGAGGGCATTTTAAGCGATTCAACTGTCAAAATTTCATTTCCAAAAACTCAGCTTAGGAAACCCAAGGACACTTGCAAAAGGAAGAGGAGAAAACAACTAGACACTTCAACATACAGACATGGTCTGAGAAATTTCCATATGCATCAGCGTCCCAAATAACATCTAATTCAGAAATTTTTCCACTAACCAAATTTTTACACTACCACCTATTTGTTCTTCCATTTCTCCGCTAGCATTAGGTACTGAATGTATAAAAATGATTAAGGCAATCGATACAGAAAACAGTCTAGTTAGGGACAGTGTCAGAACAAATAACTGCATTACAATAGGTCCTGCAATAGACATACACTATGAGCTATAATGCAGAAGTGCTATAAGAGAAATATGAAACAAAGTATTACAGGACAGTACTTGCCAGGAAGAGCTGAGGAAAGTTCGACAGATAAAGAACAAACTTAACTGGGTTTTGAAGCATGAATAAAAGTTTGGCAGATGAAAAAGAAGGAATAAAATGTGCAAAATTATGAGCTTGTAAACAGGGAAATGACAAGATCATCTCTGTGATTTAGAAAGATAATGCTGGCAGCAACAGTGTGGACGAGAGAGACTGAAGAGAAATGTGAAAAGAAGGTGGCCCTCACTCTAGACAGGGAGAGAAGAAGGATGCATACCCAAGCCACACTGGTGCAGGCTAAAGAAAGGGTTTTTATTTGAGGACTGCTAAAGTGGCATCATCAATAGGCACGGGGAAGCTAAGATTGTGGCTGGGGGCCCGACGGATGGTGAGACACCATTAGCCAAAACACAAAAGGGAGAAAGGGAGAGAGGAATCTGAGCATAATGTATTTGATAGGCCTAAAGGACATTCAGGTGGAGATCACATAGACAGATGTACAGAAACTGAAAGAGTGGTTTAAGACAGATGTACAGATTAGAGGCTCACAGTAATGAAGTGGCAACTGAAGTCATGGGGCAGTTAAGGTATCTCAGGGAGAAGATGTGGAGGAGGACTGAGGATTGATTCAACGTTCATCTCTGACTCATGTCCTTTTTTCCCTGAACTACTGTGTGCACGGACTACAGCCGACCTACGGATACAATGGTATTTAATCAGCACAAAACTCCTCCAGAGCATGTACTGAATATTTACAGAACACCTCCTACAAGCAAGGCACGGTGGGGAAAATAAAGATGAATACAACTTAGCCCTCATCATCAGGGGATTTACAAACCAGCAGAGAAATCAATTAACATTTTGTTAAATTAAATTATAATTTGTATCATTAAAAAATCTATTGCCAAAAAATCAGGAGATTAACAAAATACACATGTCATTCAAGGTGCTAATTAAGTCTACACAGCCAGAGCAAAAGAAGCTGAGTCGAATGAAACAAACATGAAGTGTGTGTCTTCCCCACCCTGATCAGGACTACTAGCTGTTAGTTACAGGATGTGTATAGGTGCAATGCTCTTTACAGACCACTCCATTCCAGGCTCAGAAGAACCCTATTCATGGACTATTCTCTTCAATCCTCACAAACGCTCTAAGGCAGTTGCGATTATTACCTCACACTGGTGAAAAGGTTTAGAGAATTGGTTAACTTGCCTGAGGTCACGCAGCTAGCCAGGAGGCAAGCCAGGGTCTCCACTGAAGTTTAGATCTGGCCCCCAAGTCTGCTTACAAGACCATCATGCTGAACTGCTGCGCATCATCAGAGACTTTCACAGTATTTCTGTCATTTCAGATTTCATAAAGAGAAAGTTATTGTTCCGCTGCCTGTAGTGAAGAAAGCAAGAACAAGATAGGAGAGAAATGGACGCAATTTAGAGGAACAATGTGATCATCTGGAAACAGAAGAAAGCGGTCCAATGAGGTCTGCAATGATGATGGTGATTGCTCCTGATTCCAACCTTGCCAAAGGAATCTAAAGAACAGCTTTTCTTCTTGGGTTGCTATAAACCTGGTTTCTAGGCACTCACAGTGTGAATATTTTATAGGCCTTAAAATCCAAGAGCATGAATTATTCAGAGATCTAAGCACTTCTGGAAAAGACATTTTACATACTTTACATCAGGGAAGGCTTCTTTGCCTTCTGACTTGTAAATCACATGTAATAAGAATAAAATTCAGCCAGCACCACCAATTTTGGTAAAAGACTTAAATCTAAAATCAAAGTAAAGGATGGGGAGCATTGACTTCTAAAGAGACTTTAATTTCATAACTATACAATAATCTCCCCCAGTAATATCCTTGTTAACTTTTAATTATTCAAAATGTGGGTTATTTGGTGAATCCTCCCCTCCAGTACTGCTCAAATGCCGTTGATTCACAGCCTGAAATATCCAATTACCCGCATGACATCTCCTGGCTGTCTCAAAATCACCTCAAAATCAACAGGTCAGGACCCAAATTCACGATCTCCTCCTCCAAACCTGATCCCCTTCCAGGATTCCCTGCAATGAATGAATGGACCATCCATCCAGTTTTACAAGCCAGAAACCCAGGGGTCATCCCTGCTGCTTCTCTCTTCCCTCTGACATCCAATCCACCACCCGACTAAGCCTCCTTACTTCAGTCGTCTCCAGCACCGCATGACCCAAGTACTCCCCCCCTCACCTGTTCCACTACGGTGGCCTCCCAACTCACCTAGCCACATCCACTCCTGCCCCCATCAATATGTCCTCCATACTGCAGCTGCAAGGACTGTTTTTAAAAAGGCACAACTCTCGTATTTCCCTCCTGCTGAAGACCTTTAATTTCCCTCCAGTGTATTGTAAGATAAAGACAAAACTCTATAGTACAGCCCAGGCCTTACTGGCCCCAGCTTCCTCTCACACTTCTCCTGACTCTTTCCAGGCATCCTGGCTTCTCTTTTGGTATCCCATACTTGCTAAATCACCCCACCGAAAACCCACACACCCTCTGTCTGATACCTCTCCGTTCCCAGCTCACCTAGTTAACGCCTACTCACACCACAGACGTCAGCTTAGTTAGCACTTTTTCACTCAAATATCAGCTTTCACTTCCTTGTTCAATGTTTATTTACAGTGCCTGCTACATACCAGGAACCGGACAGTTAATATACATCAAAGAACAAACAAAAAGCACTAGCTATGTGGAGCCTAGTATGTGAGTGGAAAACAATAAACATCATTTTTTTAAGTGTATTTATTTATTATGAGAGTGAGAAAGAGTGTGAGCAGGGGAGGGGAGGGGAAGAGACAGAGACAGAGAGAGAGAGAGAGAGAGACACAGAGAGAGAGAGAGAGAGAGAGAATCCCAAGCACGCTCTATGCTGTCAATGCAAAACCCCACACGGGACTCAATCTCACAGATCGTGAGATCATGACATGAGCCAAAATCAGGTCAGACGCTCAACCGACTTTGCCACCCAGGTGCCCCTAAACATAATTTTTAAAGTAAATTATATACGATGCTAGAAAGCAGTAAGTGCCGTGGGGGGAATAAACGAGCAGAGTAAGGAGCACCGGGAGTGCAGGCAATTGTGGGGCCGGCAGAAATGTCGAACTGGTGGTCAAGGCAGACTCCGCTGAGAAGGCACCAGCTGAGCAAAGACGAAGGGAGAGAGAGAGTCAGCCCTGTGGATGTCTATCAGAGAGAACAGCAGCAGGGGCAAAGGCCCTAAGACAGCGTCTGGGTATTCAAGTAGCACCGCAGGGCCAGTGTGGCTGAGGCAGAGTGAGTGAGAGGGGAGAGGAGGAGAAAACAAGATCACAGAGGTAGCAGAGAGGCAAGGAAGGATGATTACAAAGCCTCATAGGCCACTGTGAGAACTCTGGTTCCTACTGACCGAAATAGACAGCCATTAGAGTGCTGAGCAGAGTGGCTTAGATTTAAAAAGGATCCCTTAGGCTGTTGTGGGAGAACAGACTGTAAGGGGTAAGAGTGGAAAGACAGACCAGTCATATGATACTGATTTTCATGACTTCCTAACTCCGCAACCAGATCTAATAATCCCCCTAGTCCTGCACTATTAACCTCATTATTTGATTAAGATTTACCTCCCCCTGTAGAGAGCCAGCTCCATGAAGGACAGTCTAAGTCTACTTTGGCTCGCTGTAGCATTCCCAGGGCCTAGCACAGTGCCTGAAATACACTAGGCAAACACTTGTTGAAAGACTGACTCTAACTCTAAGAGCTTTCAGAATGTGAAGTGCATACATGTCTCCTTGTCCCGTCACAAAAAGAAACAGAGGCAACTTTATACCTAGGTTTATCTAAACTGATGGTCATAAAAAACATCATTTGGGTGAGGGAAATCAGTTCTGCTGTGACAATATTGTCAAACATGTTATTTCTTAAAATCCTCCTCCTTCCTCCCCAAGTCCATATTCTGCCAGAAGTTTCTAAAACCCAGATTGGATCATGCCATTCATTCTAATAGCTGGTGAGATAAATTCCAAAAGGTACAGGGTACTTGCAACTTCTCCCTAACACAGCTTTCTCATCTCCTGCCATCTTGACACTGTACCTCCAGCCACAAAGGAAAGGAAGGGAGAAGAAAGCCAATACTTGTTGAATACCTATTGTTAGGCAAGCCCCTAAATCATATATATATTAATGTTTAGATTTATTTATAGACACAAATATATTCAAATATTTCACGTCTAACACAGATGTGTATTATATTAGATATACAATATATAATCTATGATCATATACACTACATATGATATACAAATATATATATCTATAATAGATATATGAGTTTAATATATATCTATAATATTACACACACACACACACACAATATCATCAATAGGTTTCTGAGTGGCTCAGTTGGTTGTTGGCCCAACTTCGACTCAGATCATGATCTTGTGGTTTGTGAGTCGGAGCCCCTAATTGGGTTCTGTGCTGACAGCTCAGAGCCTGGAGCCTGCTTGGGATTCTGTGTCTCCCCTCCCCCCTCTCCTCGCCCCCTGTCTGCCTCACACACACACTGTGTCTCTCTCTCCTTCAAAAATAAATAAACATTAAAAAAAAAAAAAGTGTTGTTCAGAATACTATCTTCTTCCAAAGCATTAACCATACAGAAGCAGCAAACCAACTACAGGGGTGATTCAGTCGGTAGAGCATGCAACTCTTGATCTTGGGGTTGTGAGTCCAAGCCCCACAATGGGTATAGGGCTTACTTCAAATTAATTAACTAGTTATTAAAAAAAAAAAAAAAAGTAAGGCATGTTTGGTGGCATGAGTCGTTACGTCCGGACTCAGCCAGGTCACGATCTGTGTGAGTTCGAGTCTCCCTGCTGCTGGCTGGCTCTGGCTGATGGCTCAGAGCCTGAGCCTGTTCGATTCTGTGTCTCCTCTCTCTGCCCCTCCCTGCTCATGTTTGTCTCTCTCTGTCCCCAAAGTAAATAAACGCTGAAAAAAAAAAAAAATTTTTAAAAAAAAAAAAAAAAAGTACAGGCTTTGGAGTGAACTCTGGCTTGGGCCCAATCCCATGTCCAGCCTCTTCCCAGCTGTGCCTCCTTGGCCAGGTTATGTATCCATTCTACTCTTTAGGGAATAGTTACAAAAATTCAGTGCTGTTTTGAGCTTTAAACCTCCCCTTATAAACCTCCCCATGCTTGTGGTTTTCTTGGTATGTAAACCAAAAACAGCACACTTAGAAAGGGGAGAATTAATCACAGCAACTGTGATTACTTCATACATACCTTCAACAACTCCTTACCAAAAAGAGGGTTCACATACGTCCCGGCCATTTTGTATAACACTGCTCCTATAATACCGCCAGGGACTCTTGGGTCCTGAGAAACTATTCCTCCTTCTGGCGGAGACAGCCGCCTGCACACACGCATCTCCATTTTGCTCACTCCTGAGCTCCACTAAAACTACAACAAAGGGAGTTTTTAAAAAGTCATAAACTCCTAATGATAAGGAGAAAGGAAGAGAAAAGAAGCAACAGCAATGAAATCCTCAAATCTGGCAAGCTGCCGGGCAATGGTAACTGACAGCACGCCCCAGAGAGCGGGGTTCCCAAGCCAGCGGTGGGGAAAGCTGAGAAGCAACCCAGGAAAGACACGGGGGAAGCAGTTAGACAGTTAGGTCCCCAGAGCCTGTCCTTTCTTTCTTGATGGTGCCAAATGCTTCCTCCATATCCTGGCAGAAGCCTAAGGTGTTTCCGCCCCATTGCTTGTGTTCTGGATCTGGGGATGACCGGCAGGACGGAAGTACCAAAAACTGGACAGGAGGGACTACTGTTCCTCTGCTCTGGCTCAGGAGACTGGCAGCCAGATCTCTTCCTTCCAAATGGGAAGCTGCAGAACTATGCGGATAAAGAAAAGTTAAAACAAGATCATCATAACCTCAGAGATAAGAGAACATATTGCATCTATTAAATAAGAATAGGATGCTCTCATGAGAGACACTCAGAGACTAAAAAATAGCCTTTGGAAATAAAAACCATGATCATGGAAAAAAAATTTAATATTTTTTTATTTATTTTTGAGAGAGAGAAAGAGCACAAGCGGGGATGGGGCAGTGGGGGGAGGGGCACAGAAAATCCAAAGTGAGGTCTGTGCTGACAGCCCTAGCCCTACGCGAGGCTCGAACTCACAAACCATGAGGGCATGACCTGAGCCGAAGTCAGCCGCTCAACTGACTGAGCCACCCAGGCGCCCCTGGAAAACATTTTTTTTTTATCCAAATAGAAAGGTTGGGAAATCAGTGTTAAGAAAATCTAAGGATTAGTTGCTATGTGCCAGCACTGTTGAGCTTTAAACCTCCCGAGGCTATGGTTTCTGGTACATAAA